ACTCCTGAATGATGAGCGCAATCAATTCTCTTTTCCTGGTTACAACTGTACTGTTCCTGTTGATGATGGTAAGCGGCGCACTATCAAACACGTATAATCCGAGGATCGAATCCAGGATCGATACTCGCTCAAGTCAACTGAGCATTCCACCGCGGGAGTTGATGGTCGGTACCAAACCCGTCTGGAAGTATGGAAGCGGCAAACTGTACAAGGCCGGCCATCACAAATAATCGTATAGGTCCCGGCATTCAAACGCTCATAGGACTTTGAATGAAAGTCGAATGCATGGGCGCATCCCACATGTGACTGAATGACGACGAAAAACCTTACCCTCTCGTCAAGATCATTCCCGAAGACCCATGGGAATGTACCTTAACCAAAGATTGCATGATATTGCGGGAGTGGGCATAACTACAAGGCCAAAATCCGCGACTGTGGGAGTAATCCTGTTTTCCACACTGATGTGAATTTATGCCGTTCAGGGCACAAACAGCTGTACAAAGTTCTGGTTAATAAGAAATGGGCCCCCTCATTCATTGTTGGGAATGAACACACCAAAAATGATCCTCCTCTCTGTTCTCACTTACGTATATCCAAATGCTATAAATACGTTNTGTCCAAACAACCACGCGCAATGTCTCATTGTTCAAACAGCGGCTATCAGTGTTCTCCCATGATTCTGTTAGAAATCGAAGAGTCACTGCAGCAGCACTGATAACACTCCCATCTAGTTCGGCCTCAAAAAGTCCTCTTAGGAAGGGTTCCAGTCATCTTTTCGTGAAGTATTGTAAGTTCAACAACGTTTCTTTCGTCAAAAGTTGTATATTTACAGTTTATCATTTAAACAACATTTCGTACCGACAAAATCTAGTGTTAGGGTTGTTTGGTTTAGAATTTCTGAGGATAAAGCCCTATAGTTTTGTTCAGAAACCTTCAGAAAGTAAAAAAGTAGAGCTGACGTCCGAAAACGTGCTGTTTGTTGCAAACCTTCTTTTCGGCACACGATAATTTTATAACACGTGAGCTGTGTGGGAAAATTCCCAGCCCCCTGAATTGCATGGCAAAAAGCTCATCTAACTTACTGAAATCGATTACGCTTACTAAACGCTATTCTTTCTCAGTAATTATCTATCCTAACGTTTCCTATTACAGTTGAATATCTGGATGCACCAGAAATGGCGTCGCCAATACCAATACCTTATCATTCTACTACTATTTGCTGTGATTCTTATACAACTTTATAGCATGGCATTCACAGTTAAGGTACATGGACGTTACGTAGCAATTGAAAGCAATGGAGGTCGAATAGGAAATCAGGTGAAATTCTGTTCTGCTCTTCTTTTTTTTTCAAATGTTTTTTTTAAAAATCTATTTGTCAGGCCACATTACTGCGCAAACTATATACGAACCATACCTTGCTATCAGTTGCCCCAAACAAAACAATTACTGAACGTATAGAAGGACTCAAGTCTTTGACATCAATTAGTGCCGTTTTTGGAATGCGCCCCGCACTTGACTCCCTTTGAAATCGTAGAGGCGGCTGCCTTCAGTGACCAGCGTGGCAAATCAAAGTAGAAGCCACTCTTTTTTCCCCCTAAACCACCTCTACCCAAATGAGGGCACAACAAGAATGAAGTCCGTAATCGTGTAGTGAAGCAAAGTCCTTATAAATTGACTCATAAATGGCCAAAAATTTCAGTAAGATGACGGTCGAATAGATTTCGATGTGAGGAAAATTATCCGAATTTAAGTTGGGCACTGATGTTCCAGCATTTAAAGACTTTGTAGAGAAGTCGTAAGGAACCCTACACGTCCTTCACCCGTAGTTAGGTGTCATTCTGTTCTAGCGGTCCAGCTCACTCCTTGAAACCCATGCCATCACGAACCAACGGTTCCATCGATTCTCTCACTCACACTTAGTTTTCGAGCCATCCCGAAACTTAGGATGTGCTTGTGAAAGTACATGAAAGGACCTATTTAGTTCCATGTTGCTTTGAAACCCTCTTATCAGCCTTTGGCGCTTGTTATCACTTAGCCACCTAACTCGATAGGTTCTCCTCTTTATTGACATTTGCATACTACGGAAGTAATATTAACCTGTGACACGGACTATGGATGAAGAAAAACAACAGGAATTGTGTCCTTACCCACCCATTGAACACTTGCAAACTTGCAAGAGGAGGGCTACAGCTTGAGACAAGGAGCTCACCCACCCATTTCAGTTCTCCCTCTCACCTGTCCCACCTGCAACTTCATCAGAATTTTATAATAGCTATCATATTTTATCACTCAAAATCTGAGCTCCCGTCATGTCCCATCACGACGTATCTACTATATTGTATCAATGTCTGATGGCTACGATAAAGGTGATAGCATAAAGAGCGTAAGGAACCCAGTTCCTGTGCCCATCCTGCGCAATGATCGGCTCTAGCCAATTGCTAACAGCTTTCCCTAAAACCGATATATGTCCAAGTAATTTTCCTACCACCTGAATCACGCCGAGCCCGGAGCCAATGAAATTCTTTTGCCGTTGATTTCGACTGCAATCACTCTAGAAGTCAAGTTCGAACGAGCTAGGCCCCACTACTGATGGGATTTTTATACAGTGACAGTGAAAAAGGTTTGGAGTATTCATCGCTACCGTTGTTTGAATGGACTTTTCAGCTACTTCATTTATGTTCTGGTCATGGTATAGCACGTAAAATTGGACGACGTCAATATATTCGAACATTAAACAGTCAAGGATTCTACATCGGTAAACATTTGGCGAAAATCGAAGAAATATTTCCACGTTTTGTCGAAGTTTTTACAGTAATGGTGGGTTTATGTAGCAGAAGGTGGTGACAAAATTTCTGTTTGATCAACTTGACTGTCTTCCTTCGACAGCGAATGATTTAGAATGTATGGAATGAACATCGAGTTCCGTTTGCACAGAGTCAAGGACGCATGAGTTGCTGCGAGTACGAGGACCCAACTAGGTTCGAGCTGTCTTTTATTTCAATTACTTGTTTTTTGAAGTTACAATGTACAAAGCTCAGCATCGGGCAGTAGAAAAGGAGGGTCGTCGTCATGCTGTTAGAGGAGATGTCCTTCGATATTGGATAATGAGAACTAGTGTTCATTTCGATGCCTACTCTGCTGTCCCCTATACGCCATCGGGTTATTCGTCCTTCCAGGATAGTCAACAGCTACAGAATTTCTCTCACCTACGGGTGGAGGTACTGCGGTGACAACGGATATTTCATAAAACTGAACGGTTGGGGCCCTTGCCAAATNTAGAAAGCAAGACGTCACTGACAATTTTCCAATATAAAACCACCCTTAACAGTGCAGTTTCAGATTGAAAGATCGGACAGAACAGTTCTTGGTTCTCGAGTTTCATTATGCGCAAAATGTGAGGTATTTTGAATATATGTTACCGGAACTTCGTCAGCTTCTGGAATTTTCCATGAATATTCAACATCAAGGCGACAAGGTCCTGCGACGATGGAAACTGTTTGTCTTTTCTATTATAATTCAAGTTTTTCAGAAAATTTTTCCTCAGAAAAAAAACCGGCAAACCCAACTTTATGCTGATTGTTTGCGAACTAGATTTCTCAGTACTTATCCGCATTTTCTCTTGAAATGATATTCCACATAATTGGTTTCCCCAGAGAAGGCTATTGCCATGGTAGCTACAAGTACGAAAAGTACAAGTAATGTTGCTGCAGCAACAACAAGCTACCCAGAGATAGTCCGCTGCACCGAGACCTATTAAAGGCACGGTTTACGATAAAAATGGTTTCGGAGATTTGCTCATGGTATGAATTCGGGGCCCTCTCTGATACCATACGTGCTGAAATGAAGTCGAAAAACGTTCTGGATAGGGCACAATAAAGGGCCGGAGAGTAAAGCGCGGTCAGCCTCCGCCCCTCGCTAGGCTGACTACGAAGTCTAGTTGCCATTCCCACTTTCGTACTGGAGCAACATTAGTGAAAAATCAACAAGCCAATCGACCGCCTCCTACTGGTAATAGTATTCGGCTGTGTTCCTACTATTCGACTGATATTCTGCTCTTTCCGTTCTATTTAATTATTCTCAGCCGTCATCAAAAGGATCAGGCACAATAACCTAGCTTGGTGAAAATG